CTGTGTGGAATAAGATGGTGTCAAGTATAGTAGCCTGTGGAAATTATAAGATATTACCCAGAAAACTTTGTCAAAGAATTTTAAACTGAGAAAACATAGTGAAATTGTGTGGGAGTTGAAATGTAAAGCAATGCGAAGAGCTGTCTTTGATATGTTTTGAATTCAGCTAGAGTGAAAGAAAACACAGAATTTTCCAACACCTCACACTTGAATGAGAATTTATTCCCTAGCGTACCACAGATTTCTACCCCAGGGATTTTTGCCAAAAATATTGTGAATTTATGTTTTTGAAAGACTTGTTACATCTAAAAGTTTATCATCTCACATAATCATGCAGGCCTCTAAAGCTTATTGGAATACATTAAAGGATTTTAATCTCTTTGACCTCTTTTTTGTTTAAGCCGTCTTGGTTTATGGTTGTTGTCAGGAAGAGCCTGTGCTTATCTTGTTGCCAAAGAACCTGTGCTTTTTTACTCTCTCATCACAAAGAGGAGAAAATTTATACTTTGGTATAGTTTTATGCAACTGTACAGCAGGATCTATGATGGGAAAGACTTTTTTTCCTAGTGACCGGCTGTCTAAAAGCAGTAATGTATAAACACATCCATTCACCCAGATAATAATTTTCCCAGATTTAAGACACTTCATTGAAGTTATTATGCACGTGTAAAAGAGCAAAACTATATGAGTGAATCAGGCCTTAGGCATTGATTTTCATCCAAAAGATAAAAGCAAATGAAGAAATGCAGAAAATGAAACAATGGGTAAAGAACTGGAACTGAATCACTTCTGGAGGGAGATTTAGGACTTAATCCTGCAAAGCAAAACCTGCTCTGGCCCTGATCCAAAACAGTACTCAAGTCTTAAACTCTAACTCCATCAGCAGTCTCACTGAAGTCACAATAGTTTCACTAAAGCCAAATGTCTGCCCAAGTGCTTTGTAGACTAAGGCCAGAATATCAGTAATTTGTAGGAGTGAACCCTCAAATAAATGATCTTGGT